CAGAATCAATTTTAAAAGGAAAAAGAGAGTTTGAGAGGCCATTTTATTGTGCCTCCCTGTACATCACTGTACATCACTGCTTCTATAGTTGTCATTTATTTGTATTCTGTGATGACCTGTCAAAGCTGCCATCAGCTGCTAAATCTCTCCTGACATCAAACTGCTACTACCTGCCTTCTCACTGCCAACCCAAGTGCTCATATTGATCACAGTATTGATGAGGTGTCACACTTTGGTCAATGTTATGATGATGAAACTGATGATTGGACATGGATGTGGTCACAGTTATTAACTCTGACCCCTTGTTTTTAAATCAAATCCTACCTTCTCAAAGCCCACAGCAGGACATTTTTATTTGGTACTGAACCAGCGCGGTAAGTAACTGAATACAACATATTTTCATTGTTCTCTTCACAGTTCTCATCTGCCTTGCTCTGCTTTGTGTCCGTTACTGTATCTTCTCCCTCCCCCAAACTGTCACTTTGCTTTCCTCTCTCCTCGCTGCCTCTCTCATGACGTGACTCTAATAATAGCTCCCTGAAGTCGGCCCCGGCAGCACCCAAGGGCCCAGAGTTGGTCTTGAAGGGCACTGCATGAATTGGCCGTGCTTGTTCCCTTTCATGCTATAGGCACTATAAATAGTTCTAGAGAAATGGAGGATCTGCATAGGCATTATATACAGGCATGCATTATCCATGTGTTTATGAATGAAAGTGGGGGAGGAGCAAAGCTGTTTCATACATTCATAAGTTCTGAATCTAGCTGTTTGGACACTTTTTGTTCCAGCAGTACTCTATATGTGAAAACAAAAAACTAAATTAAGGTGTGTTTTCACAATTTAAAATAAACTGGGGGCTCACAGTCTCATACTTGATAGATGCATGGCATACAGACCATTCCCTCCTCAGGCCAAACTCAGAGCACAATCACATTTATTACGTCCGCCAAGGAGGTTATGTTTTTGCCGGCGTTTGTCTGTTTGTTTGTTTGTTTGTTTGTCTGTTAGCAACATAACTCAAAACGTTATGGACCGATTTTGATAAAATTTTCAGGATTTGTTGGAAATGTGAAAAGGAAGAACTGATTTCATTTTGGGGGTGATCCGGAAGAAATCCTGGATTCTGGATCACTTTGAAATTTTAGTTAACATTGTGGTAAATGGGGCCAAAATTTTTGTTTCTCAATATTTCTGTTAATTATTGACCAAACCCCATGAAATTTGACTCAGGGATGGACAATGGGATCCTCTTTCATATTCCAAAGGCTGATCCGGATCTGATCCAGAAGACAGATTTTATCGCAATTTATATAAAAAATGGGGGTAGTCCTTGGCGGAGGTCTGCGCTCTCTGAGTGCTTTTCTAGTTTATTTCTGTGACATATAGGAAACGGACAAACTTTCTCATCTCTGAGGAGTGAGGTGACTGCAATACTTTTCTTTAATCAATACTTAAATTTTCCATGTTTGTTATGATGCAGAGGAACCACGCTTTTATCTGGTTAATTTGCCAGTCAGTCACACGGCATAGATTTGTAAATTATAGGAAAAGTGAGAGTTAGACGAGTTGAGACGAGTTTCACTCCTTGTATAGACTGTAAGTTTAAACCTTTGGTATTTGATTATTCGTGCTCTCATTGTTTCGTGTTTCTTTCTTTGTTTTGTGTGTATGCAATTGGTCCGTGAGCCCTGGACTTATTTCAAATTAAATTGTTCCCAACTTCTAAAAAATTTAGAAGCATATATAGCAAATTCAAAATGATCAAATCATCCGAACCTTTTTAACTATACAAAAAAATCTACAGCCAGCCTATATGCATATATTTTCATAACTTCTCTCAGTATCATGACAGAAGCCTTTGGAGACCACCAATCAGAAACACACAAGAAACTACATCAAATATCAAATATTTATCAACTAAAATTGGAAATCAAATTATGTTTCACTTTGTTAGTTTCCACTCACATTTAGTCGATAAATATTTCATGCAGTTTCTTGTGTGTTTCTGATTGGTTGTCTCTAAGGGCTTCTGTGATGATGCTAAGATATATATATATATATATATATATATATATATATATATATATATATATATATATATATATGATGGCTGAAGAAGAAGTAGGAGCACTGGAGGATGAGAATGCAGAGCCCTCTGGAAAAGTGCTTTAATGAGTACGTTGGCCCTGATTTGGGCACGAGCATGAGGCACGAGATGACAGGCGTGTGCGTAGCTATGGGCCATGCTGACGTGTCTCTTTAGATGAAGATGTGGCATGCCTCCTCATCCTCTGCTGCATCTGTGCTGATCATCACATGCACATACAAAATGCAGACTAAGCGTACAACATTGGTTCTGTAGATTTGACAACTTTTCTTTACCTGTCTTGTGTATTTTTTTTTGATGATTTTAATTTTAAAGTCATACATTCGTTTAGTACTGCAGTCTGTATTATACATGCAGCAATGGAAACCAGCCTGGGGTTTGCAGTAACTGCCGCTGATTAGCTGAGATGCTGATAAAGGGGGGAGGTAAGAGGCGTCTTAAAAGTTCAAGTGCACATTAAACTTTCAGCTCGCTTTTGAAAGGTATTTTACTCTGGGTTTTGTCTTCCATCTTCAGTTTCAAAGCAGGATAAACAGCTGTAATGTGAGCCTCAGACAGTTATAGCAGTCGCAGCAGTAGCCTTTTGTATAGCAGCACCCTGCACATATCACCTAACATGAGATAAAACAATAAATGACACCATGTCCAAGTAATATGAGTGAGATTTGTGCTCCTGTCAAATGTCAGTGTGTTCCTAATTTCATTCATTTTACACAATTTGTTTCAGTTTATTGTGATTTTAGGCAGACTGTGTACAGATACACTTGCATATTTGTACTAATAGGCCTATATAATCTGAATATGTATATGTCTTACCATTTATTTTCACGCAAATAATGTGTTGAGTGAAAACAGGCCCCTAAGTAACTTAGTTTATTGCTGTAATAATGTAAGATCTGGACTGCATTTTCAGTAACTAGACTAAATGGCTGCTAGACCTTGGCTTTGTCACAAAGACATTACTCAACAAAGTCAAAGTGGATTACATATTGCCCTTTAAACCTCCCAGGACAAAGGATATAAAAACATATGGTTTGAGCAGGAGGCTCATCAGTAGTTTGTGCCATGTGTGCAGATTGGCTGAATATGCATGGCTGATCACAAAGCCCTTTCTCTATAAGGCAAGGTCTCCTTCAGACCTCAGGGTGAACGTATGAGAGCTTAAATGCAACGCTGGCTGCAGTACATGCACATGTGTTTACTGTATGTGATTGTGGACACTTCCTGTAATCAGAGTAAGCTTCGTTTTTTGGAACAGCCGCTCAGACAGTCTACCAGCTGTCTGACAGGACAGGGACAAAACCAGTGTAAGGACAAATATAGAGTAGACCACAAAACTGGGAAAAGGCCTCAGTCCAGTCTATGGTCTTTCATCCAAGTGCACAGGCCTCCGGAAGTGTGTGAAGAGCACTAAATGTTTTCATGGATTTTTATTTATTACTATAAGCTTACACTAGACTAGTCTATACATATTTGATTTATATTATGTATGATACATATAGGGTTTATCCTGTTTGGATGTTTTCTTTTAAACAGTTTAACCTGGAGTGGAAGACAATATTACCATTATTGCACTAAAGAGAACATCATTAATCAATTAAAATGTACATTTTTAATATCAATAACTCAGTCTGTGTTATCCAAGAAGTCTCCTCTGTTACCATGGCAACGGTAAAACTAACGTGTACAGCCCTACTGTCCAAACAGCATCCACCTCTCATCCCGCGGAGAAGCGCTCACGCACCAACTCTGCGCATTATGCGTGTGTTTGCGGGGGTCACCAGACAAAGAAAACATTAGCCTATATAAAACTCCAGGATCTGCCATCGCTTCTTTTTATCTACACATGAGTCTAGTTTAAAAAGGTCCAGAATTTATTCGAGATTTGCAGCGCCGCAGTAGCCTACTGTAGTATGAAGTGTGTTTTACAGTCTGTCTGCATTGCGTCGAACCCCCCCTCCTTCCGCGCGCCAACCCCTCCCTCGTCCACTCTCACTTCTTCCCCTCCTCTGAATCAAATCCTGCAATATGCTACCAAATTTCCCGGGACGGACCTGCTCTCCTCAGTCCGCTGTCACTGCCGGATCCCCGGGCACTTTTTTATTTCCAAAGGCTTCATATTTTGGCATTTTCTAGGCTGTCGTGTGCTTTTCTGCTGATGCGGCAGTCCAGTCCCCCCAGCTATCTCCATTAGCACCTGTGCTGCAACTTAGCTTCACCTCTCCACTGTTATTTTCAGCATGCTTTGGTCAAACTGTCAGCCCAGGATTTTACTGCCCAGCTGCGGTTTGGTGCCGTGCTCTCACGGGCTGCACCGATCGACACTGAAAACCTACACCATGAGGATACGGATGTTGACCAAGACAACATAGTCCATCAATATTTCAAGAATTGTGTAAAGCGATAACAGTATTAAAGCCGTGTCGTGGTGGGTGTCCGCCAGGTGTCCGCGTTTGCTTCTTCACAACTCCAAACAGGTAATTATCACTTAACACACAAAATATTTACACATAAAAATGTGTGTGTGCGTGTATGTGTGTGTGTGTGTGTGTGTGTGTGTGTGTGTGAGCGTGAGTAGTTTGAGCGTGGATACTGCAGTTGTGAAATGCGCATAGAGAACGCAACGGGACTGCAAACATGAATTCTCCGGTAAAAGACCCCACTGTATGTGACAGATCTGCACACAACATAAGTCTGTGGATGTTTGTCAGAGTGTTTGTCTTGTTTCAGGTGACAATCCTGAGAAGACCTGCTGCATGATGAAGATGATTATGGTAAAGAAGATGGGCTGGGGGGCTCTGTGCAGCTCCTGGCCCTAATAGGAGCCTGTTCACTCTGATCTACTACGTGCATTTGACGTCGCTGCCTCCTCCTGTCCCGCCCGCAGCAGGAAGGATGACTGTGGTGTCCACTGAGAATATGGACGAGACGTCCACTCTGCCAGGGCACCCGCAGGACCCCTACCCCCCCGACCACGACCTCGAGGAGCATGACTGCTGTGAGCGTGTGGTCATCAACATCTCAGGGCTGCGCTTTGAGACACAGCTCAAAACACTGGCCCAGTTTCCAGATACACTCTTGGGAAACCCTAAGAAGAGAATGCGCTACTTTGACCCCCTGCGAAATGAGTATTTCTTTGACCGCAATCGCCCCAGTTTCGATGCCATCCTGTACTATTACCAGTCAGGAGGTCGGCTTAGGAGGCCAGTCAATGTGCCACTAGATATGTTTTCTGAAGAAATCAAATTTTATGAATTGGGTGCAGAAGCCATGGAGAAGTTCCGTGAGGACGAGGGCTTCATAAGGGAGGAGGAGCGACCACTGCCAGAGAAGGAGTTCCAGAGACAGATCTGGCTCTTGTTTGAACATCCAGAAAGTTCAGGGCCTGCCCGGGGGATTGCCATAGTCTCTGTGATGGTCATCCTCATTTCCATTGTTATATTTTGTTTGGAAACGTTACCAGAACTGAAGGAGGATCCTAGAGATCGAGTACATACTGTGGGCAACACCACTTTATATTACCATCCAAATGTCCTCACTGACCCTTTCTTTGTGGTGGAGACACTTTGCATTATCTGGTTTTCTTTTGAACTAATAGTCAGATTTTTTGCATGTCCCAGTAAGGCTGCCTTCTTTAAAAACATGATGAACTCTATTGACATTGTGGCTATCATCCCATACTTTATTACATTGGGAACAGAGCTTGCTGATGATCAAGAGAACAGAGAGAGCAAGGGTGGAGGAGAACAGGCCACTTCTTTGGCTATACTCAGGGTCATTCGCTTGGTCAGGGTCTTCAGGATTTTTAAATTGTCCAGGCACTCAAAGGGGCTGCAGATTTTAGGGCAGACTCTAAAAGCCAGCATGCGAGAGCTGGGCTTGCTTATTTTCTTCCTTTTCATAGGTGTAATTTTGTTCTCCAGTGCCGTCTACTTTGCTGAGGCTGAAGACAAGGACTCCTTTTTTACTAGCATCCCGGACGCATTCTGGTGGGCCGTGGTTTCCATGACCACAGTGGGCTATGGGGATATGTACCCTGTCACCATTGGGGGTAAGATTGTGGGCTCACTGTGTGCTATAGCAGGAGTACTGACCATCGCCCTGCCTGTTCCTGTCATTGTGTCCAACTTTAACTACTTCTACCATCGTGAGACCGAGGGTGAGGAGCAGGCCCAGTTCCTGAATGTGAGTCAGCAGAACCTGGCTTCAGAGACCAACTCAAGCCGCCGCAGCTCCTCTGTAGTCAGCAAGTCTGAATACATGGAGATAGACGAGGACATGAATAACAGCATCGATAACTTTAGGGAAGCCAACCTCCGAACTGCCAACTGCATGGCTCCCAGCCAGAACTGTGTGAGCAAGGGCAAACTGCTCACTGACGTGTGAGGACGCTCTCGGCACCACTGTAAATAATGTAGAAATATAAGCAGCTTTTCTTCATCGTCTAAAAAAACTTCATTGCAGATAGACTACTCAGAAGAGGAGGATTAAGTCAGGGCAGAAAAAGTTAATAAGTGGACATTTTATTATAAAAAAGATATTTTTTATTATTTATTTCATTTTTAAGATGCTTGTAAAGCAAGACATTTTTGAAGAGCTTATAAAGTTGAAATTGAAGAAAATATTTTAACCAAAAAAAAAGATTTATTTTAACAGTGAATGACACAATTTTTTTTTCTTTTTTCTTTATTTATTTATTTATTTTTATCTGATGTTTCTCCAATTTGTAAACAAGCAGAGTCAATTATAGCACATTAAAAATTATTATAAATCACAACCTCAAACAGGTTGTGATTTCTACTAGTTGATAATGTGCACATGATGTATGATACAATCAACCAAGACATTGTTTGGATTATAGCCGTATTATTATTTTTTATGGTAAATATTTGAAACAGGATACTGATCAGGCACCTTAACGGACCGACACTGGGCTTTGTGGAAGACTTATACTGCTGCTGCTGCTACACACTGGAGGATGATGCAATGCAAAGCTCCTTTATATAAAGCTTGGAATGCGCATGTGGAGGATCTCTCCTGTCTTATAATGGCATGCACAAGCCATCACCTCATTTCATGTCTTTTACTCAACTCTGCCCATCCTGGATCACACTTATTTGTTTTCACCAAAAGTGCACTAGTTATTTTAATTCATTTTAGCATTGAGGTGTTGAATGTTAACTTATTAAGGGAACAGGAGCACTTTTCAAAGACCATGGCATGATCAAAAACAAAGCGTTAAGGCCTATTAGCTAAAGCTTTGTATACTCAGTGCATGATGTCAGGACAAGGGGAACTGTGACTCCTCATTACACATCAGGTGCATGACGGAGCTATCTGCTAAAGGACAAATCTGCTTCAGAAAATATCAAACGTTAAAAGACAATTATTCAAATACATCATCTTCCTTTATTTTTCTTCAAGGCTCTCTGATAGTCAAGTGCATGGGATTATATTTTATCAAATTGTGACCTACTTTTTATTTGACTTTAAAATCTTAAGAAGGATAGTTTTAATAGCAAAACAGATTTCATTGCTCTAACTAAAATTAGTTGCCTAGTGCCTTGAACCCTGTCTCATTTTAGAACTGAGTGAAGTGCCTCGCAAAGAGCAGCTCATCTTCTCCTGCCATAAAGATGCACTGCAGACACAAACATTCACATCACATTTTAGCCAGTCTCCTTCGCACCATGCATGAGGGATGACACATGGCAGCAATGCACAGCTATTGGAGGTAGTTTCTGTTAAAAGTTAACAAAAATAACTCCTAATAATACTGCCAAACTTTGCACTGCCTTCTCATGCAATCACTGCTCACTAGACACTATCGGTGATTTTTGAAACTGCCACGAATAAATTAAACAAGTCTCTTGATTGTGTTAAAAGGCAAGTGAAGAGACTACTGTCTGATCACAGTTTATGACACAACTGCCATAAACATCTGTGGGTTGTGTACAGACAAATGCTAATCTCAAAACTAGGTATAATGCAGCTTTAGATGCATTTTAAATTAATTGGAAGGATGCTTACTGACACAATGTATTGTAACAGTCAATAATGAATCTGATTTAAAATTGCTCTGAATCTGCAAATTTAAATATTACACCAGATTTGGTTATTTGTGATTTGGGACACAATTCTGACAACATGTAATTATCAATAATTGTAGTACCAACTGCTCATACAGAACATTCCTAAAGTCGATCAGCACATCACTGCCCAGAGACCAGAACAAACCCAGACCCATGCACAACGCCTGTATCTAAAGGCCTCACAGTAGCGTTGCATTGCTGTGTCATCATGCAGTTGTCATGAAAAAGATCCCTTTAATCATTTTGGATGGTGAGATGCTCCATGAAAAGCATGCAGTATATTATGGGGAGTTATCAAATCTGACCACATGTAAAAACAAAAGTTCCTACAACTAACAGGACCAAATGCAAATGAAGCATTGTTATTGCAGCAAAATGCAACATACAAAAGAAACAGTTTTCTTTGTAGAAAGACTTTACTAAATATAATTTTTTAAGTGCTAATTTAAATACAGTTTATAGATTAGACTGTCATGTCAGAATATATTGCAACTAAGCAAATGTTTTTTATTGATTTCACAATGAAGTCTACCTGCATGGTAAATGAAGCGAGAAATGCATGAAAATCATAACTAATGCTGGTGACATGTTTCGACTCAACTGGTGAAAAACAACTATTATTCTGTCTCTCTAAGACTTTAGGATGCATCTGTTTTTACATTTCTATGTTTTAAGTGTCTCTCTTTCAATTTTGCCAAAGCCATGTCCCTTGAAAATCAACATTTTTGTGATGGCCCACTTTGGGTCACCTACAACAGTTTGTTTAATAACCTATTCTTTTTTGCAATTTGCTGGTGAGGCATAGTCTATAACCTATGCAAGGTTCTTCAACAATAACTGTCCATTTTTATTTCTGATCAAATAAATTTGGAAGGAATGGTGATTAAATTGTTGCTTTGCTATTTACTATTTATTTTTCCCCAAACATCAACTGTTAATATAGCACATTTAGTATACGTTTTAGATTATAATTCATTTTCCAATAGACTGACTTGTTTTCCTTCATTTCAAATTAACGGTAACACTGCTGTAGAGTATGTTTTTTATATAGGAGGAAAACACATACATTGTGCATTGTAGACAGAATAGCTTGTGCTTTGAGCAGAAAGAGAAAAATCTGAGTCAGAGAGGACTGATCTAATAATACAACAGCATCATGCTGTGCTAGCAGCACAGGCATAACACTGAAGACACTTGTGTTTGGCTAATGTTTATAACTGCCTGTTTCAAACCAACAATGCAGTATACATTGATACATTTATACAGTAGAGTTGGTGAGATGAGCTGTCCTGGTCTGTTGGGAGGCTGATGGTAGGAGTGTGCTGAGTGCAGTTTAGGTAAGCGTTGGGTAAGTGTGGGAGGATGCACCAGGAAAACAGGTACACATAACGACCAGCAAATGATCAGTCATTTTTCACATATTCATAGAAACAATTATGTTAAGATATTGTTCAAATACTCATCATAAACTGACGTACTGCGTGACATCCACTGTGGAGCTATAGTTGTCCTCAACTTCAGAACTACTCCACAACAGTATTTGGCAACTCTGCTTCCTGATTATAGAAACCATCACCATTTGAGTCTTTGAGTTTTTTCCAAAAATACAGTAAACCTAAAACACTGGCTTTATGTACACAATTATTTTAGTTTTCTTACAACCATGAGTATTATCTATTCATCAGTTTGTAAAAGTGTAAGTTGCACAGCCCCACTGGCATTATCCCCAGCCTCTGTGTCTGGGAGCAGACAGACTGACATGCTGCACTAATGGCCTGTCTATCTCCTCCTGTTTCATTTTCCATCGCTGAGTTCCAGCTCTTACCTGAGCTGACATCACTGTATTCAGACTGAGTGTACTGAGGCAGGTATAGCCCTCTGCTCCACACAAAACACAGACCCACAGAACAGCACAGGGCAATCATTGAGTTTCACCTGTCACCTCCATATGGGCTAACAGCAGGATGCATGAGGGGGAGAGCTGGCCTCTGCACTACACACATCCAGAGCTATATTCTATTCACACTTTCATTTCGTTTGACTGTTTGTATTTTACTGGTGGAAATGAATGCAGTCTCTTCAGAGAGTCATCTAAAAATATTAAATATTCACAGGGACAATATTACATTTTATTTATATATTATATATTATATTTATATTTATTTGAAATTTTCTGAAAGTTTGGGCAAAATGATAATAGTTTTTAATGTTGAAATGATCTGCTGATCAGAGCACAGAGGCATTCCCTGATTTTTGGTCCTGTCCTTTACAAAGATATGTTTGTGTATTGTCAGAAGGTCAGTTTGTCAGCAGTAGCTCACTTTATCATCACCTGCGCAAGCATGTGAGTTTCACATGTCTGCTTTACAGCAACATGAGCTGTTAGCATTTTCCATGCCCCTCTCTTTATGAACTTCAATCTGCACCTGGCACGGGAGAAAGACAAAATAAATCACATCCCATTCCTGCGTTTCAGCACACTGACCTGCCTGCTCATGGTGCAGGTCGTGGCCTAACTATGATCATCATGTTCAGACATGGAAATATGGCTTTCACTTTCACAGAAAAGGTCTTTGAAATACTTGGTTAAATTAATTAAAACACAAGACCTTTACATCTTTATTTAAACCTGCATAAGGTATATTTGTTTCCAGGATGTCAGCCTGTGGTGAAAACAGGTAGGGGCACTCACCTCTGTGTTTTACAGCGGGCTGTGGCATGTGAACAACAGAACTAAATCATTGATACCAAACAAAGCTCTCCAAAGTAGAGCTGTAAATGATGGATGATTGAGGGCAGCAGTCATACAGACAACGCAGACTCTCCTGTTACATGGTGCAAAGTGCAAAACCCACTGCTGATTTTGTTGCCTGATGTGTGGTCAGTTTACTGTACCCGCACCAACACTTGTTTATGTGAGGCATGATTCTGAACACAATAAGGGGCTTTGTAATCCGACGTTAGGAGATACATGTAAAGCACTCTGTCCCTGCTGAGTACTTTGTTACTTATTACAGTATTTGGTATTTCAACACTTACAGTAGTTGGTATTTCAACACTAAAATTAGAGTTCTCTGTAATTGTGAGCTTGCTGTGTCCATTGTATAAGGTAGGATCCTGATGCTGTGTGTGGGTGGCCTACTCTTTGGGTTGCATAAGCGATGCAGGTAAAATGTTTCTATGAGGCTCAGAGTCCCAGAGCTATTATCACACATAAAACAGCTACCATGGTGTTGTGGAATTTTACATTCCAGCATAGCCTTAGCAAGGACACCTTCAGTTCATTGTTAACAT